TTTCCTTAACATGATTAAGCAATAACTAAGTAACAAATAAAAAAGAAGAAGTTAGAATTGTGTGTGAAAAGTATGAAAATTTCAAAGCCGATGTGAGCATCAGAGGTGACTTCTTTCAGATCTTTTAAAAAATAACGCAAAGTATGCCGTGCGCTGCTCTGCTAATTTCTTGGTTCAAGGCTTTTTTATTATTTATTTATTTTTTATTTATTTTGGTGATTTTTATGCAGTAAATTGATTATGTATGGATTGTACTACCATCTGTATTCTTCAAAAAATAAAATTTTGATTTATTAAAAGAATACTTCTTTTATTTATTTTTAGTAGTATTAATTCAATTTTTTGAATTTTTTAAAATATACATTTCATATAAAAATTTAATAACTTATCTTAATAATAAATAAAATTCTTTTATATGTAAAGTCTTTATTAAGTATTTATATTTAATAAAAAAAATTAATTATAATTTATATAATATATTAATTTTTAAAAAATTTATATTTAAAAAACTAAAAAATTAAATTAAAACTATTAAAAATAAATTAAATGAGTAACGAAAAAGTTCCAAACACTTTGGCCTACATTTTATCCTCGATTTCTTCATTAAAGGTTGAAAAAAAAAAAAAAAAAAAAGGAAGAAAGAAGAAAGAGTCTTACATATAGACTAATTAACAACCATGACTGGTATCAGTGAATCAATCTTCGTTTGACTCAGAGAAGTTGAGGGAATAAACAGTTTGATTTTTTCCATCGATTTATCCGTCTTCATATGAAGCCATAAAGTTGCTAAATCCAAAACGCGTTTGACTTTATCATTGTTTACTAAGCCTGTTAAGTAACAAACATGGGGGATGTCATTTTAGAGTACTTGGCAAGTTTTCCTTTGGCCGCCCATAGTCATTACTCCAAGTTGATAATGCGTTTAGTTTACGGTTGTTACTTTATTAAATTAAACAACCAATGACATATTCATGAGAGGACCCATTCTTTTAAACTAATTTCCTTAAATTGCAATTGACTGCCTAAATCAATTAGTACTTCTTTCTTTATCAATTAGTATCAATTTGTTTTTGATTGTAAGGTGTTTGTCTCTATCAACATATATTTATATTTAGTTGTTAGAGTTTACATAAAAAAAAAGATATAATTAAATTAACAATTTAAATAATTTAATGATAATAATTTTTTGTTGAAAATTAAAAATTTTAAATTTAAATCACATATTATATAATTAAAATATAAAAAATTATCTCTATTATGTAATTAAGATAACAAAATACGATAGAACTATTACATCATGGATAATGAGAAAAGTAAAATTTATTAAAATATAAAAATAAAAATACATTTTTAGTTGCATATAAATGAAAATACTTCAATAATATGTAAAGGCATTTTGAATTGTTGATTTTGAAATATTTTTGAAATATCGTTAGAAAGCAAAAGTTTTACTACTTCCACTGCTCAGGTGGAGCCCCTTAGTTTTATTATTAAAAAAAAAAGGAAAAGATTATAATTTATTTAAATTCCAGTTTCTAACGCTCAAGTCTTACGAATCTCACCCCACACAGCAATTCTCTTCCTCAGGTGGTGTCACCGTCCCTGCTCCCACAAAACTGCCACCCCATTGACACCCTGCGCCTACAAAACCGACGCGCAATCAATGGAGCCACCTTCCTTCGTCTCCAAAGCCCGGACCGCCATCCATTCCGCCGCGGCAAAGGCGGAACGAGTATTTACTGAATTTAAATCAGATCGAGGTAAACAAAAAAAGAAAAAGAAGAATCTCCTCAATTTATCGATAAATATCTATTGCAATTTTTATATCCATTTTCTATAATTAACCGTAGAAAAATTCGGTTTTCCGTTTTCTGATCTTATTTTTGGACACATGTTATTATCGATCGCTGAATTTTTGTTTATATCATTATCCATTTCGCGAAGATTCTGATAAAATATGGCTGAACGATGAATCTACTAGGAACGAAGTGGAGGCTAAGGTAATTTATTAATCAATTTTGTTTAATTCAATCTTGTTTTTGCATTATACTGCAAATGCAACATCAAATTAAAAAAAAAAAAAAATACTGCAAATTTCTGATTCTGGTTTCATAATTGTTTAATCAAAATTTTATTTGCTTATTTGTTTGATTTCTGGATTCTGAATAATGTATGAAAGAGTTCAGTTGCAGTGATTTGATTCTTTCTCTGCATTTTTTTTCTCTTTCTGTTCATTTGTGTAAATGTTGAGCTGAAGTGGTCGCTGGCACGGAGATTTTTTTTTTTTTTTTTTTTTGTGAATTGGATTATGTGACTTCCAGTCTTGAAGTTTTTAGTTGCTTCAAATTTTTTACATTTCCCTGGAAACCAATCAGGAAAAGAAAATTTCAAAGAGTTGCAGTTTTTGGTATTAAAATTGTGTATTTTCTTTAATATTTTGGATAATGCATCTAATACACAAAGATAAATAGGTTGTAATTCTTAGGAAGGTATTTATATTTTGGATGGTGCAGTATTTTTTTTCTTTATTTTTATTTATTTTTATTTTTTACTTTCAAAGGCTTTGTTTTGATTTAACATTTAACATGCAGAGTCAGCACGAGGTGAAACAATTCAGGTGGAGACCAGGAAATTTAGGCACAAAAGAGGATTGGCAGAAAAGGTTCAAGAACATAAGACTGGGAAGAAAAGGAGTTGAAGATTCAGAGAAGGTTGAGAATTCAGAAATGGCTGTCGTATTCTGTGATGAAAACTTGTATCTGCTGAATATGAAAAATGACCTTGAAGCAAAGGTACAAGTTTCATTCTCTTTCTTTTTCTTGTTCATAATCCGAACTCCTATGTAATTGTATGTGTTTTATGCTCAGTTTTTGTCATGAAATACAAACTTTTCTTCATTAATAAGATCTTTATTTTTGTAGAATTTAGAAGCAATTCCCTCAGTAGATGTCTTAAATGCCAGCAGTTACACGTGTAACCTACCTCCAACATCTGTCATTGAACAATTGGCTGCAGCTGTTGAGTAAGTTCGCTTTAACTCTCAAGTACTTTTTTATGTATCTTATGATGATAGTGGTAATTCATTTTTGGGGGCTGTGATGTTCTCCTGCCCTTGTGCATCTGCTATGAGGTCAACTTCATGATTTACTGGTTTATAATATTTCAGCTCACGAACATTGTTGTTAACTTTCTTTGCGATATGTTTTTGACCTCTTGCCCAGGTCTGGAAAGAAATTTAAGTCCATGAAAGATCTTTTGGCTTCATCTAGGGAGTCTTCGCCTATTAGAGATAGGACAGGCTTGAGCCTTTCTGCAGTAAAGTCATTAGTTCTTCGTGACAAGGAGGGTAAGATTACATCCAGCTTCGCTGATGATGAAAGGGTCCTGGCTTTGATTCGTTCCTTGTTTAATACAGGTAGATTCATATGTTATCTGATCTACTGTAAGTCTTTACTTGTAGGAAATATTTGCAATCTTTGCTCTTTTGTATGTTCCTGTGATGATCTTTCTCTGACCATTGTAATATCTGCAAGATGTTCACAGAGGGAAAGTTCCTTCGAAGGAAGATTGACCCTAGTTCAGATGCATGTACTGCCTTGACGTCTTTGCCAAGAGACATTCATGGTGCTCCCCCAGAAAGCTTTGTTGTTAAGTTATCTGAAGTCATTGGAAGCTTTAAATCCTTTCGCAGAATGGGACAATTTTGGTGCAAAGTTGTTGATGAGGTAAGTGAGCTGCACAGAACTCCAGTTATTTGAACTAACATGAGTAGTCAGTAACTCAGCATTAAAAGAGAACTTCATTTTTGTTTCAAAAGGGGCCCATTTGATCTCTGAAATTTACTTGAAGGCTGTCCAGTGTGTCTATGAAAATTTATTTGAGAATAGTAGGTATTTAGTTTATAACATTGGCAATGGTGACACTTAGTTCACATGGTTGGTTGCATTTTTACAGCCAAGTCACATTTTGGTCAACAATTTCTTTGTGAAAACAAACTTGCTCAGATTATGTTTATGTGTGTTTGGATCTTTTTTGCATTTATTTGCTTATTTTCAATCTTTTTCTGAAGGGTTAAGTTTTGAATCTCTATTCCTGCAGCTGAAGAGATTATGGTCTGAAGAGCAGCATATACCTGGCATTCCTGTGGATGGAATTCCAGATTTAGATTCATGTCTTTTGTATCAGCAATTACAGGTTTTTAATTGCTGTATTTCAAGAAAAAGGCGTCGTTCTGTAGGCATTGAATCATTAGATTCTGTAATTAGTGGACTCAGTTCAACTATAAAAGAATCCGCTGTTTCCACAAATAAGGTGCATGAAACATCCTTTCTGTATGCTAGAGTTAGCTCTGGAGAACTTGTTCTCAGGCTGGGAGCTAATAATTTGGCTGATAATCTGACAATGCTGGAAACTGGTGAACCTATTTACTCTCCTGTAACTCAGGTTTGGTGACCAAAATTGTACTAAAATTTCAATATGCTTTTGAGGTACTCCATGACTGAGATATGTAATTGTCCATGGATGTAGGAAGGGCCTTTGCTTACAGAAGATCTTATCAGAGAAACAGAGGAGTTTGTGCTTCGGACTGGGAGGTTTGTATATTCAACAATGCCATTTAACCTTGTTAATTATATTGAAGATCTATTTCTGTTTCGTGTATTTTCAATTGTAGGTCTATTTCTTGTACTTAACTGCTTGCTTTCCACCCCCACCTCCCCTTTTTTTTTTTTCGTTTTCAATGTTTTTGGTGGTAATGAGTATTTTTCAAATTCAACCTGTTTCAGATAGAAAGTTGTTGTCATGTTAGGTTTTTCTATGTTTTAATCTTTCTTTTTGGGTAATGGAGTTGAAGATTTTCAATTAAAAAGTAGAAGTAATGCAATTCATACTTGCTTATAAGTGCCCTTTGTTACTTTTCTTAATAGACACACTCACTTTTCAGAAAACAACTGATCTTATTCTTTTATGTTCAGTGTTGGTGCTGGGTGTTCTCAACTCCTTTCTGACATGCAGGCTTTCAAGGTTTGTTATAGAATAAAGAAAGTTACTGTATCTTATGGGTATTGGAGATCCCATTTTAGATGCTATAGTCCTCGTCCTCTCTGTTGCTTAGTTTACCTAAATTTTATAAATTATTGTAGGCTGCAAATCCAGGTTGTGTTTTAGAAGATTTTGTGAGATGGCACTCTCCTCCTGATTGGACTGACAGTGAGCCCAGTGATGATGCTGACACTATGGTTACAAAAGGCCAGCTAAGTAGGCGAATGCAAAAAGAAGGTTTGTTTTTTTTTTTTGACCTATAGTCCTCTGCTTCACAAACTTTGATGCATTTGTACTCATCTTGGTCAGTGTTTTATTTCTTGATTCATTGACATCAAATGT